CTATCCTGGAGCGACACCTTCGAGCTATTGCATCTAAGCATTTTGAGACACGATTCTGCTACGTTGATGTTGAGAGACTTCCCGCTCTTGCTGAACGATTTAACGTAATGATGTTACCGACGTTGATGCTTATTGAGAACAAGAAAACGTTTCACAGCATTATTGGTTTTGATGAGTTTGGGGGAACTGATGATTTTTCAACAGATACTGTTGTAAAGGTGCTTTCTCGCTATGGCATGGTAAACGAACGTGGCATGTTTTCAGATGATCAAAGTGCCGAATAGAGTATTTGTAAGAATAAATAGTAAAAAGATCATTATTTTCTTACCGTTGTGGAATTTTTCTTTTTTTCCTCCTGATGCTGCAGGAAAGCCATTATTTCTTATCTATAAATAGTTGTTCTTTTCCCGTCTTTTATTTGTAACGTAATTGCGGTGGTTGTAGAACCAAAAGATTAAATAAATAAATAAATAAAATATTAAGAACAGGAAAAAAAGACAATGTCTACAGATAATGCTGATGGTGGTAACCGTTTTATTGGGCGCACCAAGCAGGTAGAGGATCCTCTTGTGAAGAGTCTGAGAATCAAAGTGAACACTCTTAAGCGTAACCTGAAAGATTTTGAGTTTGCTAAGAAGGAGGTCATTCGTGAAACGAGTCGTCTGGAATCCATTAAGGAAAACAATCCGGAACGTGTGAAACAACAGGAAGGTGTTCTTGGCGAGGCACAGATGATGGTTCCCCATTCGGAGAACAGGGTGAGAACTGCTCTGAAAGATCTTAAAGAATTTTTAAATGAGGAAGATTTGGGTAGCAGGGATGTCGAGCTGCTACGGAGCGCACATGAATCAGTGGAAGAGGGGGAACGTGTATTATCTTAACCCTAGAATCTAAATGCGGTATTCAATATATATATTAATTTGGAGTTTTATTAAGGGAAATTTATGAATTATCTTTTAAGTTTTCATTGTTTCCTCTGTTCTTACTAGAATTATTCGATAGGGGCAGTTTTTTTAATTGTTTTGACCGAAAAGTTCTTGTTTCAGCGAGCTCTTTTCCTCTTTTGGCGGTTGATTTCACTGTACTACTGTCATTCTTGTTGGTGGTTTCCAGATTGCTTTTTAGATGAAATTCAGTAATCGATGAAAATGAGGGCGTCGTTGAGAAGGATCGCAGACTCTCTTGTCTGGCTCGATGGAGTGTTTTTTTTGTTTAAAAAGTTTGGAATTTGGGTTTTAGAAAGTGCAAATAGAAAATCTTTTTGTATTTCTTTGTGCGGGTGGGAGGTTTTTTGTACTGTCTTCTTGTTTTCAATGAAATGAAAGGATTGAAATCATACCTTTACTTAAATGAAATTATTATTATTATTATTTTTTTTTTCACCGTTTATTTTGTTATTCTACTGTAGAAGCTTGCGGGAAAAAAAATGTGATCACATGAGGATAATTGAATGACAGAGGCCTTTTTAGAAAGCCTGGTTTCTTAAAATTTTGGTAGATTTGTTTTCAATGGTGCTGCATTAGAAGCGAGGGTGTGTAGTTCTTTTATTCCTGGACATTCCACACGCCAATACCGCTTTTCGCGTGGAGGGGCTCCAGATATTGCGCTGCCGTAGAAATTGCCTCTTCGTGACCCCAAAACAAGCTAGGTTGTCGTAACATTTGCCTTATGAAATTGTTTTTGTGAATGAGTGTTGGATGAATCTTTGGTTAGACTTGGAGGCTGCTTTGCGCATCGAAGAAAACAGACATTCTTATTGATGTTTCTTTTTATTGGAATGGAGGCGAAGAACTCACTCAGGCGAATATTTGCTTTTTGGAGGCATGTTTATCTGTAAGGGATTTTGCTATCCTCTTTGAGGTGTTTTAGGAGGGGATTTTGAATTTTTTTTTTTTTTTTAGTATATACGCTGGGAGGTTGTGATTTTTTCAATCTTGCCTGAGCAAAAGCGATGCGCGTTCCTCTACAATATATGGAAGACACTGTTGCCCTGTTTTTTCAATTATCCTGCTGGAGTATATTGTTGGGTTGCGTATTTTTGTTAAATATGATTTGGGCTCAAAGCCACTTTTTACGAAGTGGAATGTGGTTTTATTGTTTTGGCAATAGGGCAGCCGCTCTCACCTTTTTTATTTTGGTTTTCCTAGAAGCATTATATTTTTTTATTAGGCACAAGTTACATGCTAAAGTTTTTTTTTTATTACGAGGCTCCCGTTGCGCAAAATTTGACAAGCAACTAAGAGAAACGAATTCTTTTTTTTTTTTTTTTTGAATGCGGAATTAAGTTATTTGGGGGTTTTAATTTAAGAGTTGCCTTTGAACTTTGAACGGGGCTCGAAAGAGAAGAATTGAGGGTTACTTTTTTCTTACGAAAAAAATTTTTAAGCTCTAACATTACCTTTTTTTATTGAGGGTGCAGGACTTATGAATTATTGGCTTACTTATTTATTGACTGCGAGGGATTTTCTTGGGACCGTCACGGGTTTTTTATTTTTCCTGCTGCAAAATACTGGTGACTTTTGATTAATACGAGACTGACTTAAATAGAATAATATTTTTTGTTTGACACCGGTTTTTAATTGTTTTTTTTTTTTTGTTATTTATCGTTTTTTTTTTTTTTTTTGTGTGTGTGTGTGTGTGTTTACCCTCTTCAATACTGAATTGCCTAATGGATGAGGAAGTAGTGAGTGCTTTAAAAAAGGTACCACAGGTAATCTGATCTTGAAAGAATCAAATTATTATTATTGTTAATATTGTTATTGTATGATGTCTTTTCATTGCTTGATTACGTCCTTTTTAAAATCAATACTTTTAAAAATAATAATTATCAAGACTCTTGCGCAATAGAAAGGAAGAGGAAATATGGCCAAATCAAATGAGACAACAAACACGAAAGAGAGATACTTTTCATCGAAAATGGGTAGACGTGGTTTTTCTGCAGGCTCCCGACAAACTTCTATTTCTGTGCAGAAAAATCAAAAAAAGGTGGGAACACCTGTTCTTGATAAATGTGGTTTCAGTAAACAAAAAAATGCGGAAATTCAATTACGGCAGGTCGGTACTCCTCGGAGCGGCTGCTCATCCTCCGTAACGGCGTTAGAAGAAACCATTGCAGATGTCATGGGTGTCAGAATGCAGTCATTAACTGACTTGGGAACCCGAATAGAGGAACTGTCGTCTATACATCGACAGGAGGAGGTGGCTTTTCGACAGCAGATGGATGATGTTCTTCAACAATTAGAGACGGCGCGAGTCAATCAATTGGGTACGGTGCAAGACTACGAGGCGCTTTTAAAAAAGGAGCGTCAAGAGCGTCAAACCGTAATTTCATTGATGCAACGCTTTAAAACTGAAGGCGCTGAAGTAATTAATACAATGAAGGAATCATTAAAAGCGGCTAGAACCAAATGGAAAGCAGAGGTGGAGCTAAATGCACAATTAACTGCCCAGTTAAGACAGTACCAGATGAATATCATGCCATCGGAAGCCGTGAAGACGGATGGTGCTGGCAATTTGAAACCAGGGTCTAATGAAAATGCGCTTTATACCAAGGTCGAGATTTTGACACGACTTCTTGAAGAAGAGGACACAATTATAGTTGAGTTACAGGAACGCAATAAGGCCCTTGAGAAGAAGGTCTCTGTTCTTACTCAGCAGCGTAATCGGCTTCTGGATCTTGAGGCTCAGCATCTAGAAACGGAGGAATTTAACACTGAGTACAGTAATTTACTAAGTGCGGTTCGTGGTTTTGATACTGCTGAAGAAAAAACCACACCTGAGGGAAGAGTTTGTGTCTTAACACGCTTTACGAAGATGCTTTTACAGCGTTTGCAATCAGAGCAGAGACAACGGCTTCGTGTTGAGGAACAAGCAGTTCGAATGGCCTCGGAACATGATCAAATAGTACGGGCTTTAGAAGCTCGTATTAAAAGCCTGGAGATACAAAAGAGTAGTGGCATACCTTCATATCGACAAAACGTTTTGCACACTGAGAATGAAAAATCATGCAAAAACGTATTGACTGAGGGAGGAATCGAAGTCCCACCAAAGAGTGACGGGGCATATCCAAAAAGAGACCAATCAGTTGATCAGGAGGCAATAACCTCTTGTGGGGGAGTTGATGACTTTAGGTTGCTTCTTCTTAATTCATCTAAAATGAGCGCTGTCAAACCACACTCTGAAGAAACGGTACCGAATGTCTCTACTGGCGATGCTGAGCGTGCAAAATTGGAAGCTCAATTGGCGGCTGTTACAAGCGATTTCCAGCAATCGGTGGCGGAATGGATCGCCTTTCCATTGAACGGAGAGAAAACGCTTCGGGAGGACTTCTGCCCTGAATGACAATATCACTATTTTATTTTTGGATGAGACAATTGATTATGAACCATACAGTTTTTTTTCATATGCAATGGCGGACCCATTATTTTCTGTATTTATCCAATTGTTTTTTAATAACAGGGACTCGGTGTTTGATCGCGCTTGATGACTAGGTAGACCACTCGACGGCCTTTGCAGGCGTCAATGAATGCCTTTTTTTCCAAGAAAAACCTGTGAAAAAATGTATTTAGCACTACAGGGTGGAAAAGAGCATTCTTTTTTTGGTTTTAGCGTCTGTGATTTCATAATTTGTATTGTTATTTTTTTGCCGTAGAGTTTTTGTGGGTTTTTTGTTTGCTTCCCGTTGGGTGCATCATATAATAATTATTTATATATTTATAAGTGCGTATTTTAAGGTTTATCGTATCTTCCAGAGTTTTTTTTGAAATTATACCAATCGCCACTTATACTCATAAGCTGGTTGTCTGAAATGGGAGGGAATTTGTGTTGTAAAAAAAAAAAAAAAAATAGAAAAAAAACCGCAATGAGGATTGATAACAACTATCAATTGGACCAAAAAATGGTTTGCATTGTAGTTTTTTTTTCTTTTTCTTTTGGATGTATGTTTTTTTTTTTTTTTTCCAAACCATCTCTTTTTGATTTATTGGAGGTGAATTCAGTCCATGACAGAGGTGCCGTCGCAAGAGCAGGCCAAGAAAACTGGTTTGGCTGCGGCAGCAACCACAAAATATCCGAATTATTTGGCGGACCGCGAGCTATGTAAACGTTTTTTTGAGGAGTTCCGAGATCTATCTGGCACCTTGAAGTATATAGAGATTTTAAGAAGAATAGCTTGTAGAGAGTTGAAACTTTTCATATTACAACTGGACGATATAGCCCATTACGGACAATTGTATCTTGCTCAGCGGATACAAATGAATGTCATGGGCTATTCTGAAGAACTGTGTCGTGTCATCGATGAACTCATCCCACAGACCGAGATAGTAGAAGACATGGTTGATTACCTATTAGTTGAGGCAAAGGCCGCCGGCCAATCCTTACCTTCCTTATTAACAAGAAGGTACGAGCTGATCATTGTGCCATTGAGTGGCTACGCCGAACCGATTCCACTAAGACATTTAAAGGGTAGCTTAATCGGCACTCTTGTGGTCTTGCGTGGCATTTGTATTGCAGCCACCGCGGTTCGTCCTAAACTTTCTGTGCTGGTTTCGGTTTGTGAAGTGTGTGCTGAGACAACATTTCAACAGGTGGTTGGGGATCGTCTCACCCCACTTATGGTGTGCCAATCGCAACGTTGTAAACTAAATAATACCATAGGCCGTCTACTTCCTCAATACAAGGCCAGTAAATTTACAAAGTACCAGGAACTCCGGCTTCAAGAACTTCCCCAGGATGTTCCTCGAGGTGCTATACCACGTACAGCTCGTGTTATTTGTGAGGGTGAACAGACACGGATTGCTTCCCCAGGACAGGTGATTAAAATTACCGGAACGTATTGCCCAGATCCCTCTACTGGACAGGGCCATGAGGCATTTCGAGCTTCTACCATGGTAAAG